GGTCGAGGGCGGGCGCGTGTCTGGTAACGCGGCGCGAGGGGGGGCGGCTGGGGCCGGGGGCAAGTTTGGACAACGGGGTGGCCGCGAGTCCGGGCGGAGGGGGCCTGCGGAGCTCGAGGTCCCGCCGCCCCCCAGCATGCAGGCGGCAAAACCACCTCTTGCCTCACCAACCGCCCCGTCTGTCGCATGCATGCTGATCCCAACACACAAACCGTACACAACACACATGCACACAATCACGAGCCGCCTCACACTCACACGCACACACATGCGCGCTTATACGTGAACAAGTCATGTGGACCCCCAGTGCATGTGCACACACACACTCATACACGCACCTCCTGTCCTCCGCCTCCTTATCCCCCACCCCTGGTCTCACCTTCCCCGCTCTTCACGATGGCCATTACTGGCTGCGCCAGCCCCGAAAGCGTCATGATGATGGAGAATATCTGGATTCCATTGCCCATCATCCACATCATGAAGCACATGAAGCCGACCTGGGGGCGGAGGCATGAGGTGCGGTTGAGGTGGGGTGCGGTGGGGTGTGTTGGGTGCTGGCATAGGGTGGGTTGGTAGATGGGGCGTTGCGCAGTTGAGCTGTGGGTTAAGGTGTGCACGATGGGGCAAAGTAAGGGTTGGCAACGGTGCCATGCGATGCCATTCGCATGGGGGCAGGGATGAGGAATGGGTTAGGATGCGGAGGGGGTTGGGGAGGAGGGCTGCAAGAAGCGTGTTGTCACTCGCATCATCAAGCAGGCCGATCCCATCAAAGGTAGCGGGACGTCCAAGGTTCAACCATCAACACGCGGATGGAGATGGCAAGTGTGAGTGGCACGCGGCAAGCGCCAGCAGGGGGGGAGGCAGCCATGCAGGGGCTGCCGCAGCCGTGCGGCGGCCCCGCGGCTGCATTCAGCTTGCAGCGGCGTGGTCGAGAGGTCCACTCACCTGCCGTATGGGCGCTGTTGCGCGTGAAAACAGGGCCTGCCAGAGGGGCCAAGGGAAGGCGCGGGGGTGTTGCCAAGGGCTGGGTTAAAGAAGCGCGTGCTGCCACCCAAGCAGGCTCGTGCATCGGGGCTGCTGGTTGGCACGCATGGCGCTTCCAATCACAAAGGACATGGTCAAGAGCAAGAGCGAGCGGCGGGCCGTTGCGGCGGGCCGCTCAGGAAGGGCGGCCAAGACGCAATGCGGACAGCAATCACGTCGAAACATTGTGCTGCCGCCCAGCACGAGCAGCAGCACTGTCGAGTGCTGCAACGACGCACGTGCACGCCCTCCCGCCTGAATGTGCTCGCGGACTCATGCGGCGGGCGCATGTGGCAGCTCACGTCTTGCTTCTTGCGCAGCATGTCAGCATCATCCTGCTGCCGCTTGCTGACCGCTAATGACCCCACCACCTGCGGGGTTGGCGCCCAGGGCGCGGCGGGCTCACACTCGGTCGCAGGGAGTCGCGGCTGTTGACACTGTCACATAATGCGGGTTGGCAACAATTGGTGCAGGAGTGGGGCGTAGTCGCACCGGGTCGCGCGCCGCCTGCGCGTCATAACCGGGGGGGTCCAGGTTGTGTTTCTTGTCGTACGACGTCCCCAACCCGCTGAAGTCCATAGTCCACCGCTGCTGATCCGTCATGGTGTCCCTGCCGCTGCTACCGCTGATGCTGCTGATGCTGTTGGTGGTGGTGGCGGCGTCGTTTGTGTCTGCAAAAGCAAGGAGAGCGCGCCACACTGCGCTGGCCTGTGCTGATGCCAGGTGCTGCTGTGAAACTCGATCAGCCCCCACTGCTGTGCAAACAGCTAGAACTGTCTACTTTAGGTTGGGATGCAGGTATACAGCAGCAGGAAAGACGCTGCATGCGCTGTGATTGATCTGTAGTGCGTCGCGTTGCGATCGCTATGTTAGTTTCTCACTGTTGAATTTGCTGACATTTAGATTTCACTTTTTAACTACAGAACGTCAGGTTCCGCACAAGATCTGCCGTAGACACTCGAAATTGCTGCAGGGCGACACGCCCGCGCTTTTGCCAACAGCTCAAGATTCAAGGGAGGCCGTTGAACCACACTATTGCGCCAGCAGCAACGGCCGCAGCAAGTGTGTGAGCAACCCGTGCGCCGACGCCTGCAGGAAGTGGTCGTGGCACTCAGCACCCAGGGCCGCTCCGCTAGCGTGGCGCGGGGCTCGCCGGTGCTGGCACCATGCGTGTTCGTGGCTCTGTGACGAAGCTCTGCGAGTATTGCTTTGTGGTGCGGCGGCGAGGTGAGCGGCGGTGTTGCGCCCAGGCCTGCGGCATCGGGCCCGCTTGCCTGCCGTTAGCCAGGGGCCAACACCAAGCTGACCACTGTATATCACCGGCATCCGCGGGCGTCAGGAAAACAGCAGCCGCCACTTCTGTCGGCCATGTGAGCAGCTGCTTGCAACTTGAAAATGCTGACCACCTGCAGACTTAATCGCCTGGATGCGTCCATGCACTCGAGCGCACGCACGCGCGCCCCCTCCGCTGCCTGCACTGCATGCGTTCGCAGGCAAGCTGTTTGTCATGTGCACAAAAAATCCAAAGGTGAGCTGGGCTTGCGGTTGCTCCCCCAATCTGGGTGAGCTCCTGCCGCTTCAGCCACTGCTTCGCGTCAACCCCCGTCGCCCGTTGCCAGCCGCACGGAGCAGGGGCGATCTTCAACTTAGGCCTCGTGCTCCCCCACCATTGTTACGCCCTACATCGCCCCACCCACCCCGCCGAACGAGCAGCACAAGCAGCGGCAGTGGTACACGACGGCAGCGCTGCGGCAGGAGCCAACAGCGGCAACAGCCAAGCAGCAGCACCATCAGCAGCACCTGGCAAGCCAAGCATCGCCAGCTTCGCTCGGTGCCCATGCAGAGGAGCTGGTCTGCCCGCACTGGGCTGATACAATGCAGCCACCGATGAGCAGGTGGGGGCCGCCAGTGCGTTGGCGACGGCGGCATGGCGGCCGATGCCGCGCAACCCCTTCTGGAGCTTGCTTCCGTGCGCCCTCACGGCACCGTCACTGGTGGCACTGGCGGTGATATGCTCGGCCCCTGCTGTTTGGTCTGACACTGCCCTGCCTCCATTGCCTCCCCCCACGCATGATGCGCCTCCGCCGGCACCGATCGCCGATTCAGGGTGCTTCTCGGCAGCCGGCGCTCGGCGTGCCTCGGGGAGCTGTACTGGCTGGGGGCAGCCCATTGATAGGTGCTGGCCCAGGCAAGCTGAGAGCCTGTGGTCGGGCATGTCTTCCCAGAGGGCACCTGGGCAACTTGTCAGCGCATGAATGCGCTCGTGTTGGTGTATTGTAACAGATGCAAAACCCCTTGGCTGTGATTGTTGCATGCCAATCGTCGCTGCATGTACTGTGTTGCTGCGTGTCAGTTTCCTGTACCAGCAATTCCATCGACGACACAGCAGTGCTTGCGGTGACGGGTCAGTGGCCAACGCCTCATTGGCAGGGTGACTAATTTGCTCCCTGGTAGGCGTATCATGTTGCCAGCTGCGGCGCTGAGGATCGCGCTGCGTGTTCGCTGCGGAGATTTGCAACCTCGGTGAAGCATTGCGCGGCATCAGACCACCACGCATGTGGCTCTGCAGCACATGGGACAGCAGGGGTGCAGCCAAGTAGAGCACACACCGTGTGCGGGGCAAAACGGGGATGGTGGGTGCGCCTGCAATCAGCAGGCTGTCAGGCAACCCACGTGCAGCCCTTGCCCCAGAAGCACTCATGATGACCCATCTCCTGCACACAGCGGGCGAGTTTGTGGTGCGATTTGCGTCGCTGGCTGTGCGCCTGCAAGAGCGCAGCGATTTCCACTCTGTTTCTCAGGGTGGGGTGCTTGCAATGCCGGCACTTGCATGGTCTTGCTCTTCCAGAGGAGCGGGCATCAGCTGGGATACCGCAACCGCCGTGAGCTCACTGCTGCTTGCGACCCTCACGATGTTAGAGTGAACCGGTGCGTCTGATAACGAGCATATGACCTTGCTGGAGAAGTTATTGTTGTGACTGTGATACGAGTCCCGGCGAAATGGGTACTGGCAGCGAAACCCCACTGTCTGTGAGCACTGCTTGCCGCACACTTGCAAATTCACGCCCTGTGACGATGACGGCCGACTACAACTCCAAGGTAGTTGAGGTGCACTTATATTCTGTTGCTGTATCATCACAGTTGGACTTTGATGGAGATATGCATCTGGTACGCGTGCCTGTCACTCGAGAGCCACCACACACTTGTCCATGCCCAGGTTCACACCTGCCTGGCTGTGGCCGACTTTAGCCCGACAAGCGGTCACACGTCGTGACATGTCGAAACTTGGTTTACCACACCCGACACAACGCGCCGATGTGCAGCACTGTCCGGGTGCCACTCGCCCCGGAACACCCGCTGTGAACAAACTCAAGGCAATCAACTCGTCTCGCAATCGCACCCCCAACATCAGGGTAATGCTTTTGATATCACTGCAACGCTTCATTCTTTTTCAAAAGTAGTTCCTTGGCTATTGACGACCTTGTTGGTGCCCAGTGCCGTTTTGGGCCTTCCGTCACCTAAACGTCGCTCAGGCGTGATGTGGGCGACAAGCATGGTCGGTAGGACCCTCCTGATGCTGTTGGCCGTGACAAGCGCCCAGGTGAGTGGCTGATGTGGGCCTGTGTGTGGGATCAAGGGCGCATGCTGGTGTCAGCCACCTCCAGGGCGGCTGAGAACTGGGACAACAGCAATGCACCCCGCGTAAATTCAGGGGCGCAAGCTGGGGTGATGATGGTCTAGAAGCAAAAGCGGCCCCCAACATGCGGCGCGGCTGAGCACGCGCCCGCAGTCACTGCGAGCGGCGAGGATTCGACGGCCCAAACGCTGGGCCCAGCAGCCACGCAGTGACTGCTCACCCAGACGCGACCCTGCTCATGCTGGGTCCTCCCCACTGCCCACGCCCCGAACCTTCTCTGCCCCTGGAATCCTGCATCCCTGGCGCTCTGCGTTGCGCAGGCCGTTGCACCCAGGCTTGAGGGCCCTGACGGCAGCGCGTACGCAAGCGCCTCCAACAGCAATGGCGGCGTCCAGGAGGCTGTGCCGTTTGCATTCGGCAACCTCCGTCTAAACTGCGCCGGCTGTGGCAGCCTGTCCTGCTACGCCTACACCCAGAGCGTCCCCGCAAACACCAGCATCATCACCCGCGCGACGCTCGCCGCGCCTGCGACCATTCGCACCGACAAATCTGCGTCCTACAAGCCGTCGACTAAGGAGGTCCTGGCCTGGGTGTCCAGCCACTTTGGGATCCCGGCTGGCAATCTTCAAGTCGCAAAACCAACCAAGACTGGTGATTACACAGGTGCGTGCGGCGCGGAGCGCGTCCCTGCTAGGCCGAATCTATACGGGGCAGCAGTGTCCCCGCCCCAACCGCCGTGCAGCCCCTGCAGCTAGGCCTGCTGTGCAACTTCTTGATGAGTATGCAGTGCTCAAGTCTCTTTGGATTTTCCTGTGCTCAACCACGCCCTTCAACCACCCGTTGCCCATCACATCGCACCCAGACACCTTCAAAGTCAACAAGAAGTCGGTCAAGGTCCGGCACGTGCGCATTCAGCAGGTGCAGAGCTGGGCCAGCACGTTCAACCCCAACACTGACTTTGGACCCCTATCGGTGGAGTTTGGATTCATAGCAGTGCACTTGGACAAAAATAACGTCCTGGCTGTGACAGGTACGTGACGTGATGTGTTCAATTGGGGTTGGATTGAGGTGTCGCGACCCTCACGTTCACGGAAACTACTGCCTGTGCCTGGGCGAGGGCGTGCAGCTGGTGACCGGGTACCCAGCTACCCTGCCCAGTCAATGTCAGTTACCACATTTGGCGTGCGTTGTCACTCTGGTTGATGCAGCCCAGCTTACCTTGACCGTTGCCCCTCCTGCACACTCGTTCCGCCCCTGCCAGGCGGGTACATCCCCAGCCTTTTCACCTCCATTGCGGCCGCCCCAAGCAGCCGCATCTCGCCTGCTGTCGCCTCCTCCTTTGCCGCCGGCGCCGCGCTTGCCGCGGCGCCTGACATCCGCCCAGACGTCGCCAAGGCGCTGCGCGCTGCGGCCGGCGGCGACCCCTCCGCCCTTGCCACCGCCTCGATTGCCGCCGCAGCCGGCGGCGGCGGTAGCAGTGGCAGCGGCGGCAGTGGTGGCAGCGGCGGTGGCAGCGGCAGCGGCGGCGGCGCCATCAAGTCGGGCGGCACATGGATAGTCGGGTGCTTTGACTCAGGCTGCGGCCCTGTGTGGAAGGAAAACTACTTCTTACCTCCGGGCGCTGGCTCGCAGCCGCGCTCCCTTGATGTCTACATCGACGCATTCACCGGCAACAAGCGCCTCGTCATTGATAACCTCAAGACTGTCTCCGCAGCGGTTGGCATTGGCCACAGCCTCTACGCCGGTCAGGTCAAACTGCCTACAGGCAAAGGGCCCAAGAACGCCAATGGCGGGCAGTACGAGCTCACAAACTTCAAGGTCAGGCAAGGGCGTGCAGGGTTAGGTTCGAGGGGCTGCTGCAAGGCAAATAATGGCGGATGAATGCGTAGCAGGACGCACGGACATGAGCCCTGGAGCTTTGGCCGCGGCATCAGCGACCCTGCTGGCGCCAACTAGACACCAGGTCGAATCTGGGTTTGTCCACTGTTGCCTCACGCTCATGCCTGCTCGTATTGCAGGTCAACAAGAAGGGGATGACCCTTGACTGGAACAACAACCCAGACGCCACTAACGACCTCAACTTCCTCCTTGCCGCCACGCTCTTCCGAAGTGCCGACAACACCTGGTGCGTTGACAGACTCGTCGTTGTAGTGCCGGCAGGCCGCGGGCCGCTCCCGTGGGTGCGGCCGCCACCATTGCTTCACGGCAGAAAAACCTGCCCACACACCCACCCCTGCCAGCCGCAGGGCCCCGCAGCACAGCAAATGCTGTCTCGAGCTGCTCCTCTTGCGCGGCGTTGGCCGGCATTCGCGCGACCTGACCGCCGCCTCATGATGCGCACGTACTGCGTTGAATCTCACGCGCAGGGGTTCTGGCACCACGGCATCCGACACTGACGTCAACAGGCAGACGGCCGCTGTTGACGCCCACTACGGAGTTGGCCTGGTGGGTTTGCCACACGCCATGCGTCCCCACACCCGCCCGGGGCGGGGGCCCCTTGCGCCTCCCCCTCCCCCCCC